GAAAGCTGCAAACTTGAAAAGACACTGCCTGCTCCAGTCTCAGCAAGCATCTGTTGAGAGCAGCTGCTTGCGTCCGTATTTTGCAATGACGCAAATGCTTCGCATCGATAGCCTAACTTAGAAAACCAGAAAATCTTTTGAACTGACACCCTAACCATCCGTGGCAGCTTCAAATGATGCCTCAGCTACCACTCTATCAAATATCTCACTGATGATCAAAGATTTTTCAGCCTTCTTATGTTGGGCATCTTTGAGCTCAACAACCTGTGGGGAGTTCTATTGCTAATTAATAAGGATATCTGTTTGAGGGCCTTTTTTAAGTGTCGGGATCAAAGAATAAGAGGAGCCATGATAGGATTAAACAAGGATGCGTTTAGCTGACCCACTCTGCAGTATGCAGTAATCCACATGGAAGACACAACCCGAGCTTGGCTTGGTTGTGCTGTTTTAAGTGACGATGGGCTTTCTTATTGCTGTGATTTGGCCCTCTCCACAGGTCATTAAATTCCCACTCTCTCAAACCCAACACACACACATGCAATGTCAATCTGGTGTCCCCAATTCCCCAAATTCATATGTTCTCTCGTTTGTTTCTCCACCTTGCTCATCTATTTTCTTTATCAAAATATCCCTGCTTTACTTAAAAATAGTCTGAATGACGCTGAACCCAGGATGCTTTACAGAAAGACAACAGTGAGCATGATCTTTGTTGCATTAAAGGATGCAGTAATTTCTCCTCCACTGGTCTTTGTCCACTATTGGCAAAGAGGTCCAAACTGTATTAAAAGTTTAATCAACAGTAACTATAAAAGTGTCCGATAGGAGCTCAGCGAGGGAGGTCTCAGGTGCTTTGAAACACACTAATCCCTTCATGCAGAAGGGAGGGAGTGGGCGAATCAGTCCACCCCTGCATGAATGTGTCCTTGCAGGGCACAGTTTAAAGCTGTGGAACCTTCCAGGAAGAAGAGATGATGGGGTTAACACAGGTGTCAGCGCGGAAAGCTTCAGATATGGGACGCGTGTAACGTCATAGCTATTCGCCATCGAGTAGTTTTGCTCTTCCCAGCAAATGGGAATAGAGCACATCTCTCAGATGCTTCCATGGTGCAGGCCAAGAACTTTACAAGGGAGAGCATGTTCCCCAATAAATCACTTCTGCTGAGAGCACACAATCACCCAAATAACATTTATTTAATGGCCTGCAGATGAACTCGGGGTGTTTGGTTACTTGGAGGCCTTCCGTCACCCCACAAAACCTTGGCAACAACAATAACTTATGTAATACATTAAGCTTTCATGATGGCAAAATTAAAAGAAAAAACCCCCCTCAAGATTTAGTATACAGTTGAAATAATAAAGCACAGTGGTAAGACGAATTGCTGTTTCCATACCTTGATCAGAAGGGGAAATGTGCATTTTCTCTCCTTTAAAAGCTTATCCAGCTTATTTTTGGGGCCGTTTCTGTTCAAAGAAAGAAAGATTATAGTATAACAACATAAACCTGCTGCTTTATCAACTGCAGATTAAACTACTCTTCAGTTATGCCAACGCATATTGATTCATCTTTCAGAAGCATAAGTCTTGCACAAATTATTGTCATCCTTGTTGCCAACAGTACATCTGCATGTGGTTTCAGACTGAAACCGCATGCAGATGTAATGTTTGCATACTGTGAAGTTTGTTTTTTCTTACAGCAGACACAGACGCGGACTCTTCCTCAGCAGCTTACTGCGTACACTACACTGACACCTTCTGGACACAAGTTTGTCTTTTATTAAACACATTCAACTCTTCTTCCAGTCCATTCATAAAACTGAAAGTATCACTAGGATTAAATAGCTTTATCGGTAAACAGGGAATGTAAAGAAGAGACTCTAAATCCCACTACGAACTAAAAACGTCTACGTTAACTCTTCATGGGCATTTATTTACTTCTTTATATATTTCACTAAATGCAGAGTGCACAGCATTACATGCCACAAACTTCTAAAAGAGGACCACACAAACCTTTTCTCCGAAGACTTGTTGGGCGCGCTCATGTTGACGTGATCAGCAAGGTGGTGTTGATGAAGCGGTTATGCGCGGCATGCCCGCTAGTCAGGTTTTTAGGCGGTAATAACAAACGGCTGGCAGCCTTCGTGCTGTCGTAGTTACCACCACCGGCTTATCCCAAACACAATGGCTGTTGTACACTCAGTGCTCACTGACAGTGTTGTTCTCCCTTTTTTCTGACGTAGGCGCTTAGTTGCACGAGCGCGCCCGTGTGAGAGAGCACGAGACAAAGGGAGAAGAGGACACCCGCTGAGCTACACGTTTCCCACATATTGCAGCACTCAGTGACCACACCGGCAACAGAGACGTAGCACGGCGTAAAGGAGGGACCGCATACTTTCATATTTCTACAAAGATACAAATTCTTTCTAAAAAGATTCCAAATTTCAAAAGAAACTAGTGCTGCTAATGTTAACCTGGTTACCATGTTTCGTTTTAGCCCTTTGAATAAAATATTAAAATATTAAGTAATGTGATAAATAAATAGAAAGAATAATGCAGAATTTGTCTCTGTAGTTCAGAATAACGCTCTTCATTCAAAGTCCAAACAGAGCACTTCGAATAAGCAAGCAGGCGCTAGCATAAGCCCACACCTGCCGCCCAGTACAAACATGCAGACACCCAGTCTACTGAAGACTGGTGGCAAAATCGAGCATTCTTATTTGCTAGCAATGCCATGTTTTCTTGAAATATATTTAATTAAAAACAATTTTTGAAATTACTTCTTAGGGGCATACAGGGAGTGCAGAATTATTAGGCAAGTTGTATTTTTGAGGAATAATGTTATTATTGAACAACAACCATGTTCTCAATGAACCCAAAAAACTCATTAATATCAAAGCTGAATGTTTTTGGAAGTAGTTTTTAGTTTTAGCTATTTTAGGGGGATATCTGTGTGTGCAGGTGACTATTACTGTGCAGAATTATTAGGCAACCTAACCAAAAACAAATATATACCCATTTCAATTATTTATTTTTACCAGTGAAACCAATATAACATCTCCACATTCACAAATATACATTTCTGACATTCAAAAACAAAAACAAATCAGTGACCAATATAGCCACCTTTCTTTGCAAGGACACTCAAAAGCCTGCCATCCATGGATTCTGTCAGTGTTTTGATCTGTTCACCATCAACATTGCGTGCAGCAGCAACCACAGCCTCCCAGACACTGTTCAGAGAGGTGTACTGTTTTCCCTCCTTGTAAATCTCACATTTGATGATGGACCACAGGTTCTCAATGGGGTTCATATCAGGTGAACAAGGAGGCCATGTCATTAGTTTTTCTTCTTTTATACCCTTTCTTGCAGCCACGCTGTGGAGTACTTGGACGCGTGTGATGGAGCATTGTCCTGCATGAAAATCGTGTTTTTCTTGAAGGATGCAGACTTCTTCCTGTACCACTGCTTGAAGAAGGTGTCTTCCAGAAACTGGCAGTAGGACTGGGAGTTGAGCTTGACTCCATCCTCAACCCGAAAAGGCCCCACAAGCTCATCTTTGATGATACCAGCCCAAACCAGTACTCCACCTCCACCTTGCTGGCGTCTGAGTCGGACTGGAGCTCTCTGCCCTTTACCAATCCAGCCACGGGCCCATCCATCTGGCCCATCAAGACTCACTCTCATTTCATCAGTCCATAAAACCTTAGAAAAACCAGTCTTGAGATATTTCTTGGCCCAGTCTTGACGTTTCAGCTTGTGTGTCTTGTTCAGTGGTGGTCGTCTTTCAGCCTTTCTTACCTTGGCCATGTCTCTGAGTATTGCACACCTTGTGCTTTTGGGCACTCCAGTGATGTTGCAGCTCTGAAATATGGCCAAACTGGTGGCAAGTGGCATCTTGGCAGCTGCACGCTTGACTTTTCTCAGTTCATGGGCAGTTACTTTGCGCCTTGGTTTTTCCACACGCTTCTTGCGACCATGTTGACTATTTTGAATGAAATGCTTGATTGTTCGATGATCACGCTTCAGAAGCTTTGCAATTTTGAGACTGCTGCATCCCTCTGCAAGATATCTCACTATTTTTGACTTTTCTGAGCCTGTCAAGTCCTTCTTTTGACCCGTTTTGCCAAAGGAAAGGACGTTGCCTAATAATTATGCACACCTGATATAGGGTGTTGATGTCATTAGACCACACCCCTTCTCATTACAGAGATGCACATCACCTAATATGCTTAATTGGTAGTAGGCTTTCGAGCCTATACAGCTTGGAGTAAGACAACATGCATGAAGAGGATGATGTGGACAAAATACTCATTTGCCTAATAATTCTGCACTCCCTGTATATTGCCTTATCTTTTATTCTCTTGTGTTGTTTATTAATGGAAATCACAGGCTCTAAATCTATTGTCTTAATTTAAGGAAATGTTTGTCTAGCGGGGGAGTGGTGACCTTAACGGCCACCCCCACAACCACCACTACCACTGGCTACCTAACACCGGGGCTTTGTAAAAAGACCCACTGGGTCAGAAAGTGTTCAAGCTTGTTTTTACAAGCTGACTGTGGATTTGTATAACTGCACAAACATTACATGTTTTTGTGCTAAAGAACGCAAATATTTCTGTTCTCTGTCATGAGCAAGATGGGGAACCAAATCAGTGCCATTCTTGCAGAAGTTCTGTTTGTGCAAACTTCCAAACAGTTTCAAATGCAATGTGGTCTAAAGCACTTATTTCAGCTACAAACTGAGGCAGCTCATTTGAAAGCTGTTCTGCTGTTTCTGCTACTAAATGAGAACAAAGAAGTCTGTGTTTCTCTTGGGAAAAGAACCGTGCAATATTATTTTTGCCTTTTCGTTTCATTTTTAGATGAACAGAAAGCTAATTTGACTGCATGCAGATGTACATAAATGTTCTTGGCTTGACAGAATGTGAATAGTATTTTCACACATCTTAAAATGACTTGGGAAAGAGAACCAAAGGACAACTTTTTTTAAAATAAAGTGGTTTATTTAGAATAATCAAGGCAGCGACATAGCACCAATCAGATGGAAATATTCAGACATCACTTTAGTTCTGCACAGAGTGGTTTTCTTTCACGTGTGACCAGCTTATTCTTCTGTTATTATATGCAGCAATTACCGAAGCACCATTTAAATATTTACATGGAAGCAAAATCCCTTTCTTTTATCATGTGTATACTGCAGCAGGGATTATTGTCTCTCATATAGTATGTTAATGAATAACTGTTCTGAACTGGTACATATTTACTGCATAAGTCGTCAAAGAAGTGTAAATGAAATCAGTCTTTTCAAAACGAGTCACTTCCCTTCAGTAGGTTAATTTAAGTTTTCTTTTTCACAGGGGGAGCGTCTCGAATAGGCCTCTTAAATAAACAGTTTTGTCTTTCTTTATTTTGCTTTCCAAGTCACAGTCAGCATCTGTTAGCTTGTACATACCTGCAGCTGTTCTGAATTTACTGATCCACATACTCACATGGTATTATTTTTTAATTAAGAGTTATTAGCGCATAATATAAAACATCTGGATTTTCTTAGCTGACTCACGGCTACACCTGGATTTTTTTTCCTCTTGTCCATAAAACATTCCAGATTTCAGAAGAGGAATTTAGAGCTAAGAATGAAGCCCACATGGTCTTGATTTTTTCCACTGACCAGTCTTAAGAATAGAGAGCATGGCAGTGGATGAAAATAGGAACAAATTATAGAGAGGGGGGAGGGGGCTGCAAAAATCGGGGTTGCTCAGACAATTTTGCTAATCAGCTTCAGTTTGCACCTTGCGCTACCTTCACCAAAAGCCTCTCCTCCTCCCTTTTTGCTGACATCAAACAGAGGGACAAAAGTGCTTTTTTTCTTTGGATGCATGCTGAGAGCGTGAGAAACTCGTCTCCCTGTGGACACGTGACTGACGAGAGGCTGCGAGACAGGGCATTGCGCAGAGGAGGTAGCAGCTGGAGGCGTAGTTTAAAAAAAGGTCAGATCTGATCCCGGTTTAGCTGCGAGCGGATCAAACAGGACTGGACTGATGTCTGAGGTTGTGCTATGCTCGAAGCTGAGTTCAAGTCGACCTGAGCAGGTATGAGAAAAAAAATGGGTTTGTTTACAGGAAAATGCAGATGAGGATGATTTTATTTTTATGTGAGTGGCTGAGAACATACTTCACCCCAGGTGCTTGTGGTGATGCTTTTCATAGCCCACTGCACTGTTAGAGCTGGTACCTATCAAATAAAAAAGCCACAATGATGTCAGACATATTAGCTTTACTTAATATTCAGTTTGAAGCTTTTATTCACTTGAGCTTCTTACCTAAGTAGTCCTTGTAGTCCTTAAAGTATTTGTGTCTCAAGCTACGTCCATCTGTAATTAAAATCACCGTTATATGCACAAACTGAATGAATGGATAAAGTTCCCTCTGTCAAATACTTGGTTTAATATTTCTGCCAACAGCTTCAATCACACGTTATCAGTTCATCTCGTGGCCGTCTATTCATTTGCAAGGTCACTCCAGCATGTTTATTTCAAGATCTATTTCAAAGGAGAAACCTGGCATCTAACAGCGTGCCATTTGCCAAGTTAGAGACACCAGAGCAGAATGCTTGGCACAGCCTGGCATTCTCATCCTGCCCTGTGGCGCTTCAGAGCACAAAGCTTTGAGAGCAGCTCTATCAGACGGTTTTTGTGAAAGTGACATATAGATAGGAGAGAATGTGTGTTAAATTCTACATTTAAAGCCACATCACAATCATATGAGCGATCACTAAAACATTTAAGTCAAGGGAAATAAAATAATACCAGAGTTGCCGCGCTGCTTGATGCACTGTCCCCTGTTAGGGATGCCAGAGGCTGGGTTTCCTGGATTGATGATGTGGCACTCGTAGCCCGTAGGACAGTGCAGAGGCTCATCTCCATCCTCAGTAGTACTGCAGGCCTCAGCTAGTGGGCAAAAAAATACAAAAACCAACGCACTCTGTACACTCTGTATCCAAGGAAACGACAATAAGAAGAGCAAAAGTCATTTTGTGGCACTATATTCTGGCTTTCCTTCAAATAATTAAAAAACAATATTTCCCACAGGAAATGCCAGCATACAAATATAAACTCAAAGTTTTAGAGTTGTTTTTTTTAAAGAAAAATGAGCAGCAAGTCTGCCCTCCTGTTAATATTTGTGGAGCGTTGTATTTGAGACTGGTGGGACTATTACAGTGAAGATGTCTTTACAGTTTGTGATTATTATTGTCACACAGGAAGGGAGGAAAGTGACTTCTGATTAAATATCACTGCACAATAGTGCACTGAAAACTCAAAAATGTTCTGCAGATGGATTTTCTGGACTCACATGTGTGTTACCCTTAACTGTTCAGGTGTGTGCCCTCACCTTGCAAAACCTCTTCAGGACCGTCTAGCAGCCAACCGTTACCCCCCAACCATCGAGGCTTGGGCTGCACCAGCCAGTCCAGAACTGCTCAAAACACACACATCCTTAGCTACTGCAATACTCAACAACAATACGAGGAAAAATATAACTTCCTGCATTTCTGTGAACATCAAAATATTGCCAACCAATAATCACTTTAATATAATTTGAAGCCCTATTTTAACTCCAGTCTGCTGGTTCTGCTGACCTGGTGGTGGCTGCACAGACTCCAGGCAGGCATAGATGCAGCCGTTGTAGCAGCAGCGTTTGTGGCGCTCGCATTCTGAGTCTGAGCGGCAGCCCGGGACCTCGCAGGCTCGCTCTGGTAACATCTGGGGCGGCGGTGGACACCGGTCATTCTTTTGGTGCTGTGTGGACTGGGGATGATTGAGATACTCGTAATCCTGAAAGAGAGAAAGAAAGACATATTAATGTCTGAAATATATCATGGATGAGGTCTGTTACTTTGATGCACGATACCCTCTCTTCTTTATTTAATGTACTGGAACATATTACCCTGGAGGCCAATGTGAGGGCAACACACACAAAAAGAAATAGAGATACCGACTTCAGAATTAGTAGATATTGAGATAGATAGATATATGCTTTTTATTTTTTTAATAACACGGTTAAAAGACAACAGATCATAAAAATGCAGCTCTGGAGTCTGGAGTCACATTAACTTTGCAGGTGTCGCTGTAAACAAAACCATAATAAGTACATTATGGATGTCTCTGTAGGATTTCACATGCTGTTATATAAATGAATTTCAAAATAAAGTAAGTAAAGCTAATCACTGGCCTCCTAATACAAGTTTACTTTGATCAGTTAGTAAAGTTGAAGCACAGTAAGATAAGATAAGATAACCTTAGTCCCACGTGTGGGAAATTTATTTTGTTACAGCAGTGCACAGTGCAAAGTTGCATAGAAGAATTAGAGAAAAAACACTGGAATAATATATCTATGAGATACTGTACACAATGGAATAGAATAAAATAAAAATAAAATACTATATACAATCGAATAAAATAGAATACAAATGTTATATACAAGTATAATACAACAATGCCAGAAAAGAGTATTGCGTTTAGTGTTATTGCTATTGCACATGTGTGGACGTGTGTGTTTGAGCAGTTGAAGTAAAAGCTTAGTTTCACTGTAGACAGGAAGTATTTTCAGAATAGGTGCTGGCTGTGCTGCATGTATGTAGATTAGACTGAGACAGTTTCATTCAGTGTAATAATATCTGTGACCACATTGCAACCAGCAGAGGGCGACAATACACCTGAGGGAGCACATCCAGCACGCACTTAGCTGAACTGTGCACAGGAGCAGTGAAGGTTTGCTTTCTGCATGCATGCCTGCCTACCAATACCTTAACCTGGATTGGTCAGGTGTTTCAGTGTGGGACCGAACACTTACTTCCCTGGTGAATGAGAGGGAGAAAGTAGGCCACTATGAAGCTGAGCAAAGATCCACTTCACACACAGTTCTGGCAAGAACAAGTGGAGGGAAGTGTTTTGTTTTTTTATTACATTTTTTGTTCACTGCTGGTATTGAATATCTGATGTTGTGCACCACAGAATAAGTGACCATTCATTGTTCTGGGGGTTTGTGCACATGGAAATTATTATAGCAAAATCCCAAGAAGCACAGCTGCCATCAACTAAACACCAACTCTCATATTTTCTCACGAACTGTATTTACTTTTCTGGATGAAGCGTCAGTGTTTTCTCTCTTTTTAACTGTATCAAAATGAACAGTTTGGTTTAACCTCGGATCCTCCAGAGCGGAGGAACATATTTGGGGAATATTTTATTAATTGGCTAGAGTTTATTTTCTAAACTGGTCAAGGTAGTGCATCTCTGTCAAACTGTTTGTCATGATGTTGAAAGCACACGGTGCAAGAAACAAGTGAAACTGCAGCATCGTTTCTGAATGGGCCAGAGTGCAGATGAAAGCGAGCAAGAGGAATTTGTTTTTGTTTCTTCTTACACTAGATTTGTAATTAGATAATTGGCTTCTGGGTGGCACACGATCATTAAAACTGTGCTGTTTATTTGGCAGGCTTGCAGGCTGTTCCTCCGAACCAACCAGTGAAACACAAAAGACAAATGTTTGGCACTCATGGTGGCACCACAAACACTTTAAAAATGAATTCGTTTCTTCTGGCAGCTGGGAGCTCGGTGGGTGTTTGGTGTACGGGGTGAGGTCGGCGAGATGGAGAGAACGTTGTGTTCTTCGGTTAATTTGAAATTTCGATTATTTTAGCGAGTTGAAATGAGATTCCTGTTTTGCCTGATACTTTGGGCCTGAAATTTGTTTCTCATCAGTCGTTTTGACACATGGACAGAAACAGGAAATAACTGGATACCTTAGTAAAGCTTTTCATCTCCAAAGAACAAGAATATTGTTTGTCAGTTTGCTGCGGGTGTTGTCTCTGATGTTAGTCGGTGGTCAGTGATTATTTTACCACTCTAATTTTTATGTGTATGCTGGCCTCATACAGACAGGAGTCTACTCCGTACTCATTCACAGCATCTCTTCTGTGAATGAGTACTACAAAGTTTGCTCAGACTGGATAATTACATAATGATTATTACACTATCTGAACTTATCTTATATCCGATCTGTTCCCAGTGTATCCTGCAAACCTCTCCTACAAAAAGCTCAAGCGTGCCCTTCCTGTTTATTCAACTGCATGCTTTTGTGTGTGTGTAGTTTGAACTTGCTCTTAATTATACCATACAGGCAAAAGTGCACACTGCAGGAGCCACTCACTGATTTATTACAGCTCCCCGAGAACGCTACCATCACCCATGCTGGTTCGGACTGTGCTTTGGTTAAATATCTGTTACTCTTCTTTTACTTTAACCACTTTGTTCTCAGTCGTCATCTCATGATTTTTCCACTGCTGTACGCCAGAAGGGCTGTCATGCTCTGTTTCTTGAAGTCTATCATAAAATCTCACACACATCTCTCAGATGTTCCACAGTGTTTATTTACACTCCTGTCTGCTGCTTCTCCCCAATAAAGAAACTGCCAGCAGGCTTGTGTGTGATGTTCATGAATATCTGTGGGAATATTTTCCCCTCCATCTATCTATCTGTCACTGTCTGTACTCCATCTCGCTCACTCTTTGATGCTTTCATTTTCTTTCTTCCCCTGCTGTTGGTGTCGAAAAGCAACATGACAGTAGCTTTAAAGTCTGATCTCAGTTGCTGATTCTTTCACTCGTTCCAATTTCTCACAGAGAGGTGATGGGGAGAAGCCACCACGCCTGGCTCCTTAACTGAACTGAAATCTGACCATTTGAAGT